TCAGTGTGATCGCCAGTTATATGACGCCTGCACATTCGCCGGGCGTCTTCGTTTTTCCTGCCTTGTGTGGCTTGTACCGCCCGCACGTGATCCGGAACTGTGACCGCGAGCGTCCGCAATCCTGTTTATCGTTCGATTCGGCAGCACAAGGCTGGACAAATAGAGGTTTACCAATGAAAATGTCAGCCACTAAGTCCCAGTGCACCCAAAAACAGCGGTCTCCATCGATCAGTTAGATACCGAGCTAGCAAGTCTTTAAGGCCGCGCGATTTCATCGTTCCCATCACCAGGTGAAACCGACACCTGAGCTCTGAATCCCGTAGACGTTTGGTGTGTGGGCGGGGGACGGTTCAATCGGTGCGACTGCTCGTTGAGACCAGCATTAAACGGTCCTAGGTTAGCACATGCACACGTAAGAATGGGCCAAGTTCGCGCTCGCTTGCACCCATAGGTGTCCTATTACCGCAACGTGTGTGTACAAGTACTCGGATGTTGTGAAAAGCAAATATGTTCCGGCACGTGATTCGCACCGGTAATTAGCATAAAATCTACAAGATCTAGTGGATGGCAGACGACCGCACGCATCTAATCTATTTATGTCCCGAGCGAGGCTACGAAACTGTTCCGCTGGGGATGTGAGCAAGAGCGTTGTAGGTTCAGCTTTCACGAACTGAACATACTTCTAGTTAAACGTTGCGCACTAAAGTGCTATTCGGTTCGCTACATTTAGATTATTAGAATCCGGGCACCGCAGCACAGTGGATCTATTTGCCGCGACTTGCACTGTCAGGATAATGAAAATTAATAGTGGAAAAGAGGATGAGATAGAATACAAGTAGAAGGTAAGGAAAAACTTAGGGCATAAGGAGTACACTTGACCTTGACAGAACGGTAACAGCCAGATGCAAGAAAGCGAATACCGGAGCTCCACTGACTGCGAGACCTCTATGTCCGGCCCATCCTGAGGCCCTCAACCCGCAGAAGTCAGGCAGACCAGGTCACTCGGTTATTTCTTATTTATCTGCGCGCCCACTTCACTTATGTTCCTTGGGCTTGAATCATCTAAATGTGAAGTGGCCTATTACTAAATGTCAGTGAATTTTGATCTCACACCTCAACAAAGTACAGGAGGCTGATGAAGTGAGACCTAACGGTACTGTTCTGATGACCTAAAGAGATGGCCACCTTTGACTGCTGATACCCATGAAGTGATACACAACTCGTGCAGGAGCACCAATTGAGTACTATTGAAGCTCGTCATGCAGTGGTTGGCCATAGACCTCTGGTGCCACACTAGAGTGTCTGTTGGACTCGTACTGCCTATAATAATTGGATCAAAGCATTTTCAAGTTTTCAAGGCAACTGCTTTAGCGTGTATTGCTTTTTAATATTGAATTCAATTGAGTGGAACGCCTATTAGTGAAATGACAGAAGAGCGTGAATAAACCTTGGTAGATCAACTGAACTGATCGGTCATTACGGGCTCTTGTGACTGCTGGGCATGCGTTTTAGTCACGCACCTGGAGGAAGGAATGTCACCGCAGGCAAATACCGAAAGGGTGAACACAACCGTCCGGTTGATACTGAATGCTAATGACCGCATAAAGAAAGTTTGTGATTATGAAGTTCATACATCTATACCATTTAATAATAGGACATGCATGGCACAAGCCTTCCCCAATCGAACTCTTCTCCAGTCTAAACGAAAAAAGGGTGAGTGTATCACAGGCAAAGCGGCACATTTAAACTCGGTAAGTAACCACTTGCTCAGTACCTACAGACAGAAACGAAGCTGTCGCACTTGATAAATTATTCAGTCTACTCAAGCAGCTACTATCACAGTACACATAGTTATGCAAACGGAGGGCAGTGGTTCAAGCCCCTTTCCCTGGGGTTAACATACTTCCAGACAAATTTCACTCCACACTCTTCTAGTCTATAGTGATGCTTTTGTCGCAGGTGACTTCGACGTACATGATCTGGGTGTTTTGGATTCCTCCAGTGAAAGACGCAAAAAAGAACCGTAAGAGCTTATCGCAGGTGCTTCAGTGAGCAGTCCCGCCACCAGATGCAGAGCTGACATCAAGCCGTTTGTACAGAATCTAGTGCATACGAACGAAGGAGTCATGATCGGCAAGACTAATAAACACGTCGGTAGAACGCAGGGATCCGTAACAGTACTTTATTGTTATGTAGAATGCGATGAATACCAAGGGGACCACACTGAACTGATGTGCAACATCACACACCACAATGTCCTGATAAACCTCGTTCAGATAAGAAAGTGGGGATTATTTAACAAACAGCTCTTCCGACAGTGCCTTGGTACTGCGTGTCGGGAGTGCCAGCAATATGATTGCAACTGCTTCAATATCTAAGACGGTTGGTTTCACTAAGATACCATCATTTTTTTAGAAACAGGAGTCGAAAACGCATGTAAGGGATGCAACGTGGTGTTCTCACAGAGCACACCCCGGTCCAGAAACCTGCGGTAACTACGTGGCACAGCACAACCACAACCCTGCGATTGTCCGGGGAGGAGGGGGACAAGTGGTTCACCAACAGTAACGGGCCACCAAATTTTCTAATAATAGCTTCCATACCTTAACACAACATTCGGAATGGAGTAGAGCGTTGAAGGAAATAGACAATACTCTAAGGATGCATTTCGCATCGAGGTGACGCAACCCGCATTTTATACTCAGGCCCACTGTCCGGGCTCCAGGACTTACGTCACATTTAATACTGCGATGCGTTGAGAAAATTGATTTCACAGTGTGCCTACTGTTCTCTTGGATTCGAGCGCATTCATTTGATGGTTCTGAAAGTAGCAGCAAAATTGCACGCAGTGCGCAAATCATACTTTTGTCAAAAGCGCTTCGAAGAACAATTGGTGCATACCGTATGGTAACCTGTTCTGTTTACTCAGATATTAAAAGCCGCAAATTATTATCTGGAGTTTCTTCTCCCGATGTTATCAGAGGTTATGAAAGCCACATCACTGGGGCTTTAACCTACTAAAACGATGTAGCATCATGACACATTAACAACACGGCTCTCGCCAATTTCGACGATGTATCACCAATCTATCGAGTGCAAACGACGGTTGAACGGAAACAGTTGACAGACGGACAAGATCGATATCATTTACTCCGAGCTTTCTAAAGCTCTCGGCGCATGCACTTCCCAGGCCTTAAAGCTAGTGAATCAGAGGTCCTGTTTTTGGATGCATTAGGAATTTCTTGCTGCAGCTACAACGGCAGTTTAGAGTTCGGAGTGCAATATTCGATCAGATCCGTGTTGAATGCAGAGTTCCACAAAGGTCAGTGCCCGAGCCTGTTTCTGTGTTCACTGATGACCTAGCGCGCGTGGTTGCATCAAAATTCTAACTATGTGCTAGTAGTGCCAAGATATGGTGGATGACCAAAAAGAGCGAGAAGCACTCCAAAGAGATCTAGACAACATGTACGAATGGTAATTTAGGAATCTGTTCTAATTTAACTTACCTAAATGTAAGGTGCTCCTTACACAACATCCGAACGGTCTATATGTGCTTGTAGGCCACATCCAACAGGAAGTCTCACAGGAGCGTGACCTTGGAATACTAGTTCAGCGTGACCTCAAAACAACCTGTGAAGGTGTCAAAGTACGGGAAGCAACACGTCGGTCTTCTGCAGAGTGTTCGGGCCGTTTGAGCTATCCATTTGATTGAGGCTGTTTAGCACAGTCATGCAGCCTCCTGTGGAATACGCTATTCAAGTGTGGCAGTCCTAGCAGACTGCACAACGAAGAACGATCAAGCGCATTAAGGGAAGCGTTCCACACTTATAATCAACTCAGGCTGATGGCCCCAAAATTGTACAACCAGGTATCGGCGCCTACGGGGTGAAGCCAAGTCAAGTCATCAGCAGTACGCCGGTACGCAGTACTGACACTTCGTCGCCGCGAAGCCACCTCCGGTCGCACGTGGGCTAAGGATACTGCGAGGGTCGTCCTGTACCTACGCAGGTTCGAACCCGCGCCGCCAGATTGCAAGACAACGTCGTTACCATTAGGCTACGGGGTGACGTAATAACCTATCAAATCCTGAAGAACACCAAACTCGCTTGCTGTCATCTGTTGCAGCTTAGCCACAACGCAAGTCGCCTGTAGTGACGTCAGCTTGTGTCAGCTACGCGATATAGGCAAATGGAATGCCGCCGGAACGTACTCTTTCCTCGTGTGTACCAGGCATAAGGCCCCCTATAATCAAGCTGTTTCCGCTCCCGAATTATCCGGATACAGAAAACGTCCTGACGCTACTCCAAAGTGTCCACATCGGGAAGCGATACAACGTAACAAACGATGTGTATCCCAGTATTTTTCTACATATTCGAGACATATCTCTTTACACAGACCTTCGAGTTAAACACTGTGGTGAGTCTAAGAAAATCGCTCTCCATGTTATTGCGAAGTTACCTTTCCCAGTTGGTGACCCTTATCCTGACCATTCCACGGGCTTGTTAATCAATTATTTGTTAACGCGTAATTCACCACTGCTCTATTGTGAAATACTCTTTAATAGTCAAATGAGCTTTGTTTGGCTTGCTAAAAGCACGTGGCTCGCAAGTGGACATTGTTCATGGTCAGCGTTGATCGCAGTACAAACTTATCTTGAAAAACGGTCCTTCTGCACCTAACTTAGAATACGTAAATGAAGAACCACATCACTAAATCCAACTTCAGAATGCTTCTGAAAATACCTAGCACACAAAAGAGCATAGGCATTAGGCAAGAGAACAACTAAGCTCCTAGATGAAAAGACCGCTAGGATAGGGAGGCCAACATAACCGTATCTTGCGTTCACGAAAGATCCATAAATATTCCCGGTCCACGGACGATTTTTCTTTTCCAGAAAGTGGCCTGTGGCAGATCATCGTCCACTGCGAAAGGATACTGACCATTCGGTAGGGTTTAGATGCTGGGCGGATGAACATCAACTAGTCCAATTGTGAAAAGCATTTGTGGTGAGAATAAAATATATATCATACGAAACTGTAAGCACTAACATGAGTTGCTGGGGCAAACGTAAAGTGAGAAGTTGCAGCGTATGGTCCGTTGAATAGCGTAGCACAGAACTCCATGCAACGAGCGGCTCATTCACGTGTCATCCCTATGTCGAGTGTACAGTGAGTAGATCAAGCGGAGAGTCATTTTCAGATCGGGTTGCAACATATCTCTACCCGGTTTCGGTCCGAGATTGATTCCTTCGATTTCTTCGGCTAGCCTCAACGCGAGCTGTATGTTGGCCAGGCGTTGTGCCTCGGTCAGTGGTGTCGGATAGTAGGCATGCATGGGCACGTAGAATCCGCCGAGAAGCCCGAGAAGCAGTATAAAATACACTCCATCCTCCATCTGGCAAATACACGAATAGATAAGAGTAGACATAAAGAGAAGGTTACGCGGAACCCTTGTGGATATGATGTAGGTAACGAATGGAAGTGGCTGTACCGCATTATTTGCACAAACCAGACAACAGTCACAAGTTTCCTAATAAGCAGAGTACATGAACGATATACGCGTACAGGTCGGAATGTAGCACAAATCGTAGCCAATTAGTGGATGAACGAGGACGGGTGGAACACCACCTAAATAGAGTAATCCCGCAAACCAGGGATAACGTAAGACGGAAGGCGTAACTCACGACAAAATAGGGAGTCCATAGTGCTCTCACAAGGATTGCACACTCGCGAGCCAATTACACGATAAATGCAACCGCGAAGGTATGAGTCTGACAGGACGATGGAGTACACTGAAACCTCCGTGGGTCTTGCGTAAGCACAATGCAAACGTGGCTTTCCATGGCACAGGTGACGGGATCCGTTCCGCCTGCTATCATCGCTCAGTCCGGCTGAGCAGTCCATCACGGGACCAAACCTCAAACTTCCCCTCAAAACGTGGATGGACATTCCGATTAGGACAATTATTCATAAACTCAAGTAACCAGGGAAAGATATGAAACTGTGTAGCACAGTGGCTCAGGTGTTTGACGTGAAACAGCCGTACCATCATTCCTCGCCTCCGCGTTGGTCTAACGGCTTCGGCAATAGTCAAACCCTCGTCTAACCACTTGCGATTACATGGTAGTGAAGCGCAAGTACTGAGTGCCGAAGCACTGTTAACACCACCCTGAGAACCATAGAGAGCATAATAAACTGAAACTGGGACCCTAGTCAGGCACACATTTTCCAGTAGCCAACGGCTTCAACATTATACCACCGATCACCGTGAGCGGCGCTCACCACAACCGTTACAGACACTGTATACCTAGTTGCTAAGACTGCAACGCGTAATCGCGATTCGGGCCCACGATGTACTTCAAGTAAAGCTGTGTGGTTCGATCAAAAAACTGTGATTTGCAACCAATTACGTCCAATCTTGAACTCTTCGGGTTGAAATAACCAGGGATTTGAATGGAACCCAGAACGTCGCGGTTGCCAGTACCACTAAGTAACCAAGCTCCACGAATGGATCTCTTCACAGTTGTTGGAGAATTACTCTTTGAGCTTTTGAGTAGCCTTACGGGTTTATAATGCGGTAATCAAGCTAAACTGGTCACAATTAACACTAAATACTCAAGTAGAGAAGAACACGGTCAAGGGTGAAGGGCTTAGGGGCAGTAAAATGCAAAACTTACCCTTCGGACACCATCCATGTTTCATTTCAGAATGCATCGTGACCCAAACTGAAGCAAGGTGTCGTAAATCGAAAACGCAACGTGTGCTACATGGTCACGATAGATGCTCGAGAACACCGCTGTGATGACACAGAGGGATTTCTTGCACAAAATCCATCGAAGAAATTGCATGTTCTCAATAGGGGTTGAAAAATTGCAACTCATTGATGCACATGAGATTCCGCCGGTCCTTTATGTATACATGAAATTATTTGCTACTTCACTGTGGAGAGCAGTGATCCAATCATATAGGCTCTTATTCAGCAATATTGTCCATTCACTTTATTTACACCCCCACCCCCGCGACATAGCGCCCTAGCCGGTGTTCACTTACAATATACTCGCTGCAACAACTCTGACTCATTGGTGAAAATTAGCGTTCGGCTTCACCACTGGATTTCCCCGACTCAACCGGTTTTACCTCACTCGTTCTAGGACGAGTTACGTATAGCGCGCGATACAGCGACCTAACCCCAAATGCACTCATGTTTCCTTGCCTTTAAATCGCTGCAATGTCTCCTACACGGTTGTAAATGGGCGCCAAGTTTCACAACTTGTTTTCCACTGCTCAACCTGATTTAGCTCTCTTCCCGGTAACTACCGCGCGCGACGCAGCGCCCTAGTCTCGTATGTACCGATGCTCTCCTACCATTTAATCGCCGCAATGCCGCTGACAATTAGCTGCAAACAGGATCCAGCTGCACCAGTTGCTTTCCGCCACATAACCTGTCTTAGCTCTCTTCTCCTAACAGATTAGGAAGACTTATTTACCTGGCGCGACGCAGCGCCCCTACCTCGGATGTATTCATGTTCACTTACCTTGACACTGCTGCAACGGCTCTGAAAAATTTATTGTAAATGGGGTCCGCGCTTCATCCCTTGCTAACCATTATTCAACCCGTTCTGGCTCTCTTCTCCTGGCAACCTAGCCCAATTGTTTTCCCGGCGTGACGTAGCACCCAAGCGTATGGTGTACTTCTGTTTAATTTTAAATCGCTGGAACATCTCATTTTCTTTGCTATTAACGGCATCAAACTCCAACCTTGGCTTTGCACCACACAAACTGCTTTACCTATCTTCTCCTAGCAAGCTAATAGCACTCACTTACTCTGAGCGAAGCAGCGCCCTAACCTCAGAAATATTCATGTTCACTAACCTTTACTGCTTGGTATCTCGCGTTGTGTGGAATTGCATTAGAAGCGATTTTGTTCACTTTGTTTTTCCATAATTAAGACCATTTACTCCGGAATCGTAATTCCACTTTTGGACCCCTTGTGCAAGTCGTTTTTTTTGCGTATTCGGGTGTATCGTGCTTGGTCTCTTTTCTTCCCATTTACCGCTTGTATCCTATTGGTTTATATCTTGGTGAATAAACGTCGTGCTTCTGTGAGGCGTATCAAACAAAGGGGAACTCATTCAACACTTCCGAAAGCTATGGCCAACTCAGCTTTAACTCGTGAGCGCAGACATACACCATCTGATCAATTCAATATCAGCATGACGTGCAAACACTGTGCCTCAGGGACGAATGCTGATACGGCTGTGAAGCCTGCCTCATCATCTGCTAATTCTAGTTCCATTCTTATACACGAGTGTAAAGTCACGCTTTCTGACCCACTCACTGAGGCATTGTTAAAAGTTCACGAGCTTGAAAACCAGGGGAACTCACTACAAACTGAACGAATTACCATCAATGAGTCCCTGACTAAAGTCGTGCGCTTACTGCCACCTGTCAGACATTCAAATAGCTTCATAACCATCAGGTCTTGGTAAGGCTTGCCTGTACTGACCGTTATCGGGAGCGAATTCAAGGAGCGTATGAGTCGTGCCAACAGCGCCATACTATTTAACGTAGCTGACCGTTTAGCAATATAAACCCTGCTGCGTATTCTTTCAAACATATGCAATTTGGGGATAGACTGCTGTACTGCTGATCGCTTGCGAAAGATCCGTGGATGCACGTGTCCCCTTATGTTCAAATGTATGTGCCAGGAGTTCCCCAATCGCTTCTTAGCCGCTAGTTTTCTTTTCAAACAACAGGCAAATCTTGGGTCGATCTTCATTAGACCAGACATAAGGCTCCTACAAAGGGCAACTGCATCAACCATTTCATCTTCGCCTAGTAAAACGATTCCAAAAGCATTAGAAAACGCTATGCCTGCTGCTTGCCGCCCGTCGTCGCGCAATGTACAACTGCACTCGACCCAATTACAACTGCATGTCGCTATCATTGACCAGACTTCATGCATACTGGGTTCGAATCCTGATGTCACAAAAAATGCTGTTGTTTTGACTGGACCGCTTAATGACACTATGGTCAGCAAAAGCCACTGCGAATTGATACCTTGTGAGTCTGATATGTCCGATAGAGACGCTGAACCAGCAGTCATGCCAGTTGCATTACCTGCTATTCCTAATGCCACGAACGAACGGGCCTCTCTGTGGGTTCATGCTGACTGGTGTCCAATGTTCTGCGACCCGAAACATAGATGTTTGATACCTACACCTCCAGAGAACCCTGTGAAACTACGCCAGACTAACAAATCTCGATTTATTGTGGACAGTGAGACTGTATGGTGGACAATTGCTTTTAATGATTCATCCTCGGAGCTTTAAAATTATACATAATGCTGAAGGGAGTACAGTGAACCCAGTTGGTACAAGTAACATAGACGAAAAATCAAACGAGGTAATTACACTCTACGGAGTTTGACCTCAGGCCGTTGACCTCTGTATCCGCCGCTTTCGTTGGCAAGGAAAGCTGAAGAGACTGGACTAGCTACTTTCACGAGCATAAGGACGGTTGAAATAATCGACTGCTAACTGTTTCGACCGTCGCAGGTGTACGAATGTGTTGACCTATCGATCCTTGCGGTGGAACCTTGTTTATTACTCGTAAGGCAAGCTTTAGATGCACCTCTTGCATACTGTCGACGATATGAGCTGGAATGCAACTGTTGTTAACCCCAGTGCCCCGTTGCCGCTACCAACGTTGGTAGTGCTCATTCACGCGTTTGGACAACTGCCGCGCGGTTCGGCCGACATAGGTTATGCCAGAGGCGCAGTCGAACTGTTAAACAACCATTGAGTCGGTCAGGATGGGCAATCCATCCTTGGTTCGTGAACTGACAATTGGTTCTATTGAAAACACGCGCTCTATCACAGCTACTGCGTAGAGTGACTTAATTGCGCCTGCAACATTTCCAGTTATTCGCTTATTAATTGCTTCCACTTTGAATGGTGGTCGTATGAATAGCCCTTTCTTTGAAGCTATTAACGCTTAGTCGCAATACAACCAGAGCCCCAATTTGCTCGCGTCAAACCCAAGTTACTAGCGATGCAACTGATTACTATTACACCTCCAGCTCCGGTATATCGACCGCTGCTTTGACTAGGTCTAATCAGCCACGCAGAAAACGATATCTACTCGAATCTCCAAATCCAACTGCCCACAATCCAACCTACCAGCATCTATTCAAAACATACGGATCTACAGCACCCGGCCAAGGACGACACTACTGCTGTCAACCCTACAGGCAACATAACAACTACAGCCTCTTGGTCTCCGACTAATCCTTTTTCCGAACTAGGTATTTCTCAGGATGACAATTCTCCAAGCAAGGCTACACCGACCACTACCCGATTTTTATAGGATACAACAGGGCAAGGCGTACCACGCCCAGTGCGTTAAGAGCTCGAGCCTGCTGTCTGTCGTCTACGAAGGCGCATGTATTCACTTCAGCTAACCCCAAACGGCTGGTTTCAGTCCCTCGGGTAGCCTCTACAGACTAGAATGCTATAATTGACCCGTCGGTGGCCGGCTGCTATCAGTACCGAACTCTACTTTTCCCACAACACACACATGCAGCGCTTACCTGACCTCTGCTTAATTCTCCCATGCGACCATTTCCAGATCCCATGTACGTTGCACTCAGTGGTCCAAGCTACCTGGCAGAGCGTACTTCCCTGAAATCAACCTGCAGTAGATCATATAGCATGTTCTTTATCGACGTAAGATCTATGAAACATAAGATGCACCTTATTGATCCCTTCGTCCCGTTCTCTTGTCCACAAGTTGTACTAATCACAGAAACCTGCCCCCCTAAGTGCCCCTGACAACTTTCTACACATCCCCGGGTACACCGCATTCTGCAATGGACGCGCCAACCACCGCGGTGGTGGATGGCTTATTTACGTCTACGATGACTTAGGCGCGTCCAACTTTGTGCTGCTGAGAATTGGAGACCCCGAGGATTCAATCTGGATCCATACGAATGGGGCTAAACTAGACCTCCTTATCGGTTGCATATATTATTCACCACATGCATCTAGTGTTAATATTGCCCAACTAACCAACCTTTCCACTGATGTTTCCATAATGTCTCCACCCCATAAGATAGTGGGTCACTTCCGTATGCTACATGTCTCATGGAATGGCCAAACTGCACCTCTTAGATCCGGGAGCATTGCTGACACTATTTACGTGAACAACTGGACCCAACGCTTGCATGTTCCTAATAAGCTGTTAGTGAGTAATAGGGTGTTTTTGAGAAAGTTCGCCGCAGCCAGACTCAACCAGAATGTTCTCAAAAAACACATAACTAATCCTGCTACTACTTACTGATAATCCGTACTCGCCTTAGCAGCTTACTTGCCACGTCGATTGGTGGCGGCTTGCGGAGGAAGTCGTCGCTCTGGGAGCCAGCCCTGTCCTCTACACGTTCATAACCTGCATGGCTGTGACGTATAAGGCGCGCAGTTTGGTATGGGTCATAGTGGTCCGCCGCCGTCAACCGTGGGTCAGTGACATAGGTCGCTGGCTCGTAAGGTCATGGGTGTGCATCCGGCGGGTGCGCGCTGCTGACTAAACCTAAAAGGCGAAGCGGTCGTGTACCGCTTTGCTGAATGTTTGGGGTACGCGTGGCTGAGCCTTGTTGCGACGAATGTTCTCAAAGACTGGTATTTTATTACTTATGAATGGAAGGATTTTGGTGAGTATTTTTGTTCGTCGCAATCAACTGACAATTAAGATATGTCGCCCAGCTGTCCGGAAAAGCACCAGACGGCCGTTTTATTCTTATAAGAGTGGTTTACGGGGACTTATACCTTCGTTTGATCACTGAGACGGCGTAGGAGATCCACACTTGCGTAATGGAGGATAGTATTGGTGAACTGGTGCAGCTGCACGTAACTACGGCGACGCGGTAAAGCGCAGCTCTTCTTATAGGGTAGGATTACACATTGCAATCGCACAGGGAGGGTGGAATGCCAGGTGACGTCATATGTTAAGGAACAGGGAATTAGGTGGCCCAAACTATCGAGAGAAATGTCCCTAAGGAACTGGTTACTCAGCCAATCAATAATACGATTATATTATAGTGTCGTATAAGGTAGTGGCGCAGATTTTTTTTATAAAGCTTAACCATTACACAGTCAGGGAGCTTAATGAAACCGAAAATATGGTGATGAGCACAAAAGGCGTCTGTGTGATTTTACTGATAAAATCGGGTGGCACAAATTTCCCGCTAGGATTTCGTCTCAATAGTAATGCTCTTGCTTTTGACGAATAAATGTGCTGCGGAGTGTAATGTTGTAGACCTTGTGACAAAGTCGAGGAACTACCAGATCAGCAGCGGTATTTGCTGAACATAGACCAGCGGATGTCAGGGGCATGCCTCTCAAGAAAACAAGATTGTGCTTAGCGGAAGAATGTCAACACGAAGTTGTTGAAGATGTCATGGTAAAAATATCGGAAGAGAAACAGCTAAATTTCACAGCTATTTAGACTAGGACTGAAATAAGCGGAACATGGACGAAGTTGGTTCGTTTTATTCAAGGTACGGATGGCGCTGGGGTGGAATTGCGAAAGTATTTATACGCTACGTTCTAATGAGCAACTCCGCCGTCCACTTCCAACTGTTCGTCAATTAGTAGGGTTCCGTCAAGCACGACAATACCATACATTCATCACCTCTGCTGACATAGCTTTTTGTCAGTGGCCAACGGCACCAGTTTTCAGATGCACTTATCACAGTCGAGGAACGCCTGCGGATGCACATGCAATTAGGCCGATCCTTTATCTATGACAGAAGTTATTTGCTCTTTCACTGTGGATTATAGTGCTTCAATCATATAGTCTCTTATTCTTCAACACTGCTATTTTCACCTTATCAAAGCTACTACTAACAGACAATAGTGATGAGGGATTGGCCGGCCAGTAACCTTGACGATGGCAAGCCTGCCTTGTAATCCGAGGGCGCGGGTTTGAGCCTACGTAGGGACCTGGTATACCCTCACCCACGTGCGACTGGTGGTGATTGCGCGGCAACGAAGCGTCAGTACTGCGTAGCAGCGTACTGCTTTCTCTTTCAATGGTGGATTACGGCCACTGAACATACGGAGAGGCGCTGGACGGCTAGATGAGGCATGCGATGCAAAGCCGCACTTGCACAGTTCAGACCAGCTGAGTGTCTGAAAGATTATGACTGGTAGGCCTGCAGATGGAAGCTATGGTTGCTTCGAAGTCGGCCACACTACTTCACTGTGTGCATTCTACAAAGGAAACAGGAGGAAACATGCCAATTAGATGTGCAAAAGACAGACTGCGCCGTAACACTTTTTACAACCAATGAGACCACTCTATAAGCCTAGCTATGTCGAGGGAACTGTGTTCCACATTCCCACCATCAGATATTCGCAGTCTCCTGGAAAAAGCAATCTCAATGGGCGCATGGGAGGAGTAAGCACTTGATAAACATTCGCACTGACCTGGCGCATAACTGGAGTAAACGTCATGCTTACAACAGTCACGTAAATATTATGTCCGACTGAGGCGATAAGGTATGACACAGGCGTCGGCATCCTCAGCACCAACAGGAGGATATGGCCTTCGGTGGTAGTACAGCGGGGATACTATAGCACTAGATCGTGCGCTATATATCAGATTCGCGGCTAAACGACCAATCGAGAACGCACGAGAGAACACACGAAAATAAGCTAGAAGAGATTTATTGGACGATCGCTAAAGTAACTAAAGCTAAAAATAGGGCACCAGAGGAGAGCTAGCTAGGGAGGATGTGGACGTGTGTCGAGTGCGAGGACGAGCGCCCAGTCCTCAGGTTGCGTCTGATTGGCCAAAAACGGATGCTCGCGTGTTGCGTGTGTGACTCAAACAAACGGGAGCAAAATTAGAACAAGCAAACCGCTTAATTCCTTAATACATAAGAACATATGTAGTGAATATTTACCTGACTTTTTGTTAGAGGAAAGCAGTTACGAATGAAATCGAGTGCCCTCAAGGGCGAGGCACTTACGTCGGTTTCCAGGTTCGCAACACTGAGATTCACCTTGGCGAGATGAGGGTTAACGAACTCCAACAAAGTCTGTTGGAACGCGGCGAGCTTTTCTGGAACGGCGCAATCAACTAGTGCGCTGATGGCGTCGTGGTCCATGTCGGCATCTATAGGGACAGAAAATGGGAGAGAAATTATTGTCAAGATAAAAGTGTCGTTGCCGAATGAAAGCAGCTTACGGCTGACTGGTGGTATACAAGAGGGGGTGGTGGATGTATCCAGAGACAAGACATAGCTATACTTTGATAAAATATATTCACTATAAGATGAGCGGTAATGTAATGTCAAATCAAACTGTGCCGCCCCGTCCTCAGTAGTTTTGTGATTGGTCCTGCGTTTCATCACTGCTCCCCGAGTCGAGTCCCAATGGCCGGATGTCACTCACCCATCGTTGCCCTACGGGCCGATTGCATTTCTCCTTGCACAGGAGTTGGCTGCGCATTATTGGTGCCACCTTTGGCCATTTGTTGTCCTGCGGTCTGACTGAATGCAAGCGTGCTCACGAGATTGTATCTTTGACTATTACCGTGATGATGTCTGTAAAGTAATGTTCTCGCTAACCGTCTATCCTTCTGACACGTTTGTACTTTTATAAACGCTTGTTCATAAAGACCCAATCGCAGTAATGGGTGAACTTTGCCGAACTCAGTGTGGTATTTAAACTGTTTGGTGTCGTCATCAGGTTTGGGTCAGAACTCAGTCTGAGATGGCATTACTCCTAACTAACTGAACGCATTATCGTGAGTAATCGCCACTAGATGTGCTGTGACATAGGTCCAAGTGATAAGGATGAACCTATGTTGCCGTTAATGTAAGTTAAGTGCTAAAAAGAATTTCTGTATCGAGTAGAAGCATAAGAGAGGCAGTACTATGCCGCACTAAGATGAATATTGCTAAAGGAAGGACATACGGATCCAATAAAAAAACATTTTAAGGCAGTTACTTGGCCACTGAAACATTTGTGTCGGTGTAGTGGCACTTAAAATCCAACTTTCGTTGGCATTGTAGTGGTTACTCATGTCAACAACCACAGCAAACGAGTCAACGGGTAGCCATTTTCTCGACCGGAAGAAAGTACGAACCACATGTGGACTTACAATTTGTTGGCCACCTCTTGCCTAAAGCATTTTCTGCCAAACTGTGGCGTACCCTTCCAAAAGCGCAAAAGCCAGACTGAGCTTCTATCAAAACCTACTGGGCACCTATACGACTGTGCCATGGCACAGTCCTCGCGAGTCTCGTCCGTTGGTATGCTTCACGACTGTTTCTATGAGGGATAGATCAGTAACAGCACGGTGTTCCCACATGCGTATGTAGGTCGAACCAAGGATCAGACCGATTCTCACGGCGAATACGGATGGTTACTGTACAAACGGTCATTTGACCTTGAGCAGTCGCTCGGCTAGCCGCTCCAGCTTTTAACCTCACCACAAACCATGACTTATCATTAAAGAATGGACCAGTAAATGTAGGCGGGGATAGTACCCTTGATCATAACTTCTCAGACGGTTCCGTGTACTGGCACACGGATACAACAACTTTTCTTGATTATCACTACTAAAGTAGCGCGTGTTGCAGCTGAATATTCGCTCGGCTCGGGTGCACAAATAACTCGGTGGAAAATTATAAAAAAGGCTTTGTTGCTCAGAGACGGATTGTGAACTGTTCTTTTGGATGCGAAATTTCGATAATGCTGGAAGAAGGCGCGGCGCACAAACTGATGGAAGACATAACGTTTTGGAATACTGAATGAGGCTAGTTGACAATTAATTTCCATGCCACATAGAGAAAGCAAGCGTAGCGAACAGCCTTGTCATCTGTAATTCCTCATCAGGTGTAATACTACACGTTTTTATGCCTAACATGAAATAGAGTGGAGGAGCAAATACCTCGATAGCTCAGAAGTACTAAAAGGAGCAAATAATCATTCAGGGCTCGTAAATGCCGAGAGGAAAAGCGATAAGTTCAAGCACTGCAGAATAGACAGTCAGGTTTCTTAGCCACATGAAGCAGAAAGAATTGACCTAGTTTCGAAAGAGCTCGTCCAGTCGATACCGTGATTCCGGGGTTATGTAGTCGATCCAAGATGTCTAAAGCAGGAGGCTCTTGTGGCCTATTCCGCTCCATTTTTATCTACCCTTTCCCTGAAGACTTCACAAAAGTACAGCAAATATCTGCTTGAGTAACCTGTACGGTCGACTGGAAATCCACTCAATATTCTAAAACGCAGGGCTTCTGGTTTCGGTCTCTTCATCTATTACAAAAAGGAACCACACGGCATCTGTCAAGTGACCTGCGCAAAGGCACACATGGCACTAGATATACCAGGATTTGCTTTTCAACAGCTACCGGTACGAAGCCGTTAACTCTTACGTACTGATGATGGCACCTCGACTGGTGACAAAACTTTTGCAACTGAATTGAGCAGCTCGGCGAATACGGTAACAACTGAACATCGAAACCGAGCTACCAGCATTTCGACACCAGACACATTTGATAGAAATGATGCTCGGTTGTTCAAAGTTCTTTGTAACCGGTGATGCACCAGGTTTGCACTCCAAGATTTGATGTTTGGGATGAAAGCACGGGGACCGCGAATCGAGGCCTCCCTGGTCCACCTAATTGGCCGAACATCTAACATCAACAGGTCAACGGTATAGGGGCCTTCACCGTCCGTACTAAACAAAGCTAGAATCTTCTAGTAGTACAACGTTGCCAGCGAATCGTTCCGAGAAAAATTTCGGTAGCTGCGTGAGCTAATCTATCGCTGATCAGGATGTGTGGAAATCCCGAAAATCCCAACCCGGTTAGACCTATCACGAAGCTGGAATTATTAAGAAGTCCAATCACTACTGTACTGCGCTGCGACATTCAAAACGGGGGGGGGGTATCCCGTTTGTCGTAAAATACAGTTGTGTGTCTAATTGTTTGCAGTGGACACAAATAGCTCTCAGTGTGCAATGTTAGTGAAGTGATTTGTCGAATCGTTAGAACTGACTATGGGAGATGCTCATCCACAATTCGCGGAAATCACCTGCATTTGTCGAGACCATAATAACTCTAGTTCTGAAAAGTAAATGAGTATTCTCTTTTGGCCTCTTTTTGCGGTCTATGAGTATTTCAGTTACCAAGGCAACTGATTGCCTCAGTAGTTGCCTCGAAAGCAAACGGATTAGCTAACCAATGGAAGGCCCAAAGAAGCAACTTCAATGGTGCGCTCGTAATGTTCAGTTTCGTTTGTTAAACAGTTGAACATATATAAAGACAAAATGGTAGTGGGTTCAGCACTGGGTATTTTGTTCGTTGACTTGGTTAAGGTCAAACCAGAGAAGTGCCAATTAAATTGATTAATTGGACAGCTGCCACTTTAAAGGCGGTGTGATGCCTCCGAAGGAAGTACTACAACGCCAGGAACGAGTAATGCGGTGAAAACGGGTAACCCAAAAGGGAACAGATTAACTAAAGGTCACACCAACGATATAAAAAGACTACAACAATCGAACAGGTGTCTGTCAGACCACCAGCTTGACCGACGGCGGTTGGATTCAGCATACCAGTGCAGACGTTGCAACGAACGGCGTCCGCAGATCTGACAGTCACAATGACACGTACTGGTTGCCCACGGAAAACTAAGCCCAATGCTTCCGAAATAAACCTTAGTTGTGGCGTAGTCAGCTGTGTACAACTTGCGCGATTTGGAATAGAATGCAGAAAGTGCAGAAAATACCCATTCTCGATGTGCTCGCCTTAGTGTCAGTCAGATAAATAAGCTTAATAGTACGACTGATTCTCTCTGGTTCTGCACTGAGTTTACGTCTCTTCCAACCGTCACGTGTATAACTGAGTTGGCGCAGAAGTACGATAAGCTGAAAAAGATTGTAGAGTAGGCAGCAGCCGTGAAAGCTGTCAGACAAATCAGTGCCTCGAATTAGATGCATAACATCAAGCTCCAATTCAGCAGAGTGTAAAAGTAAAAGTGTAAAAGTGAAAGTTAGCCACCCCGACACTGGCGTCTACTCATAAAGATGCGCTCATCACACATTCCTCAACAGAATAGTAGTGACCTGGAGATTGTCCTGTTTGTATGTGTAAAATATTATTAAAATATAATATCATACTGTACATAGACAACTTAGGAAGCTTGCCTCTTCGCACGATGACTACGTGTGTTTGGGTCATCCAGACGAATCGCATTCGCGCGCTTCTGGCTTTTCCGCCTCGAAGAGCGTTTGCTGCGTCTCGGCTGGCGACTATACCTTTCCCCTAGCTAGAACCATTTTGCGGTGCCTTCAGCTAGCGGGATTGTACGTTTCGACAATAAATGTCTATCTCGCCCATATATCCGTCTTTTTCTGACTTTTCCTTGAGGTGGGACGAACCTGATATATAGCGACCGAACGATTCCGCTATAACTGGTGACCCCGACCGAAAATTTGGTAAGCCACTTACTAATTTTTCTTTCCGGGTTCGTTCAATTTTGCGGTATGTCTATCCATTTTCATATTTTTGTGCATATTTCGGGTTCTATATCGCTTACTTTGTATCATTTTTCTGCTATGGATACGTGTCACCCAGTTCTCGACGGCTAGGTTGAAAATGTAACCATCGCCACTCGGCCCTTTCGCGAAAGCAATCCAAAACATTGGTTTGCTCAGTTGGAGGCATTTTTCGAACTTCGTGGCATTAGATCTGAAAGAATCAAATATCTCCACGTCGTCTCCGCGTTTTTCCGCACGTCCCCGATGATATCGACGATATCCTCGAGTTGCCAGCAGAGAGGAAAACTCAGGAGGAAATTAAAGCAGCGGTTCTCAAAAGGACAGGTCTTTCAGATCGTCAACGTATCACGAAGCTTCTGAGCGAAACGGAGTTGGGTGACCTCAAGCCATCGCAGCTATTGCGCAAGATGCAAAGTTTAGTCAAACCCGACATGGTGGACGACACATTTCTCAAGGAAATGTGGCTGCGTAGATTGCCACGTGAAATGTACAATATCCTCTACTCAAATGCGGGCGCATCCCTTACGCTCATGGCTGATATCGCAGACCAAATTTGGGAATCCTACGGCCAAGTTCGCAAGTTCGATCTACGCCGAAAGACGATATTG